CTCTATATGGTGGAATTATATGGGATGTGTACAATCCTCTCTATACGGTGGAATTATATGGGATGTGTACAATCTCTCTATATGGTGGAATTATATGGGATGTGTACAATCCTCTCTATATGGTGGAATTATATGAGATGTGTACAATCCTCTCTGTACGGTGGAATTATATGGGATGTGTACAATCCTCTCTATACGGTGGAATTAAGGGTGACTTTTTTTCTTCCTGGGAGAATAAGAGTTGGAAGGCAGACATGTTCATGTGTTGCTTTAACAATAGAACAGAGAAAGAGGGTTTTATCCTTGGGTCCCTGGCAGGCTTGTGTGTACAGTGGCTACAGACCCAGACTTCCTTCAGGGATGGTCTCCACTGGGCCCCTGGGGTCTGTCAAATCTGGTTCCCACTGGTCAGCTGTTTGTCTTATTTCTGGCTTGGTGACCCTTCATGGCCCAGTGTTATATTTAGCCTGGTTTGCTTTCCCTTCCAGAATACAGAGAGAAGCTAATTTGGGCCTTGCGACCTCCAGCCTGTCCCTAACAAGTACCAGCATTGGGGGCAGCTGCAGGGGTTGGGTGATGCTTGTCCCAGCCAGACTGCTCCCTAGACCCCAGGCTTGGATTGACCCGTCACTGCTCACAATGGAGCAGCCTGGTGATACAGGTTTAGATAATGCTGTATCTAGGTTTGTAAGATGTGCTGTTAGTGAGGAGAGGGGCCACTTACCTGTGCTCACCTGGAGACTGAGGGCAGGCTTGTGCACAGCTGTCATGTTGAACCTTTAGTTAAGGATCCACCTATAAAATATGAGAAAGTTGTGAGCATTTCAATTCTGTGGGGTGCTTGTGGTGAAGTGTGTGTTTTAGGGGTGGGAGCTTGGGGTAGACCCACATAAAAGACAACGGGTACCAAAAGTCAAAGGGGCTGGGGAGATGGCTCAGGACTTGCTGCACAAGCATTCAGACCTGAGTTCAAATCTCCAGAGTCATGTAAAAAGTCAGATGTGGGCATGTGGGCCTGTGACCCCAGCACTGTCAGGGGTGGAGACAGGAGGATCACTGGGGCCTAGTGGTCTTGAGCCTCGCTCCAGATTCAGTGAAGTTCCCTGTCTCAAGGGAATAAGGTGGGATGTGATGGATCAGGACACCTAACGTCCCCTTCTAGCCTCCCTACCCACCACACATGGGTATGCACACCTACACCTACACACACACCTACACACACACACACACGCACATACACACATTATCAGGGGTTGCCCACCCAACCCTTCCTCGGTCTTCTCTATGTCAAACCAGGGCCCCAGAGAAGAAAAGAGAAATACTTCTAAGGTCACTGTATGAGGGATGGATGACCTCTACCCAAACCACAGAAGGACACACCCAAGAGGAAGATGACAGACCTTTCTGACCTGCCTGCTCAGAAGCTAAATCCTAAACAAAGGATTCATGGGTGGAATCCAAGTGCAGCTGCGCTATGATGGAATTGGGTTCAAGTCACCATGGCAAGGTGGGTCCCGTGTTGGGAATGCAAATGACATTTCATCAGAGGAAGGAGAAGTCACTGGAGCACTACCCAGTTGAAGGCTGTACAGCAGGGACAGTGAGTGACAGTTGAGGACATCTTTGAGGAACCTAGCCTGTCATACATAATGAGGAACAGAAAAGCAAAGGGCAGAATGACTTACCCAGCATGACTTCGTGTGTGTGTGTGTGTGTGTGTGTGTGTGTGTGTGTAGCAGAAGTCAGCCTTGGGTGTTCTTACTCAAGGATGCCATCTACCTTGTTTTTGAGGAAGGATCTCTCCCTGAACCTGGAGTTTGTTAAATAGTTTAGGCTTGCTGGCCAGTGAGCCGGCAGGAGCTACCTGTCTCTGCGTCCCTAGATTATAGCTCTGTATAACCATGTCTGCGGGGCTTTTTCACATGGGTTCTGGGAATCAAACTCAAGTCCACATGCTTGCATGACAAGCACTTTATTTATGAACGAGCCATCTCCCCAGCTCCACTGCACGACTCTGATTAAACAAAGTTCAAAGTCAACCCATATAATCACTCTAGTTTTTCAACTTCAGGAGGAAATGTACAAAAATTTTATACCAAAATTCAGAACAAACATCTCCCAGAAGAAGAGAAAGGGAAGAAGGAAGGAATCTCCTTATGACATCTGCAAAAAAAACTCCTGTGTATCCTAGTGTAGTGGGCATGACAGTACACACCTGTATCCTAGCATGTGAGGCTAGGAGGCAGGCTGAGGCAGCAGGATCACTATTTGAGAACTGGAAGCCAGCCTTGGTTATATAGCAAGATCCTGTTTGAATAAACAAAAGTACAGGGCTAGCAAAATGGCTCAGTGGGTAAAGGTGCTTGCTGCCAAGCTTGATGACCCGAGTTTGAGTCTCCAGACACAAATAGCAGGAGGAGAGACTCTACTCCCTACAAGCTGTCCTTTGACCTCCACATGTGTGTCATGGCAGGGTCTCCCCCAGCCACCATCTGTAAAACATCCCTCCCTCAGCCCGCTTCTCAGAGCCTCGGCTTAGTTTCTGGGCAACATTCCTTCCCAAAGATGGATAAGATCACCTCAGTCTGACAGTGTCATTTTTCTTCTCCTGGGCTCCCTGTCCCCTGTACCTGCACATCAACTTCCTGAAAGAGGGCTTTTCTCTGCCGCCTTCTGCTAAATGGCCAGCTCCCAGGACACTGTGCTGGGAACATAATAGGCCTTTAATAAATTCCCGTATCTAGCAGGTTTAGATGTTGAGTCCATGTCTCCATCAACAAGGGGAACTCCAGACCCAGGGTGGGCACTGATGGAAGAGGATTCCTAAGCACTAACTCAGGAGTCACAGGATACTCTTGTCTTGTGCCTACATGGAAACCATGTCCTAGCAACCTGGGAAAAGTGCCCAGAAAGGAGGTCCTGGGAAGGAGACCTTATCCGAATTCCCTGAGGACCCGAGGTTGCAGAAGTTCTGGCTCTCTGGTCCTCCCAGGTAGCAGTCAGCCTCCCCCAGGAGTCCCTGTACCAAGCAACACCAGAGTGCTCCCTCTGCCTGGCTGAGGCCAGAGTGGGTCATGGCTATGAAATGAGACCAAACAATATGGACTGAGGGCTAGCTCAGTGGTAGAGGCCCTGCCCTCTATGTTCTGTTCCAGGCTCTGTGAATGCAACAGCTAAAAGCAGAGCTCTGGGCAGAGGGCCTGGGCTGGTCCTCGGAGTCTTGGCTTGGCTTCTCCAGGGAACGGCAGACCTTGGCAGCTCAGAAACTAGGAACTGCACTGCATCCTCATGTGGCCCCTGAGTGCCGCCTGGCTAGCCTGCAAAGTAGAAGCCTGAAGTGCAGCCCTGAGTTCTACAAGGAAAAGGGCTCCCCAGTCCATAGTGGCCAGCAGCAGCGCTGGTCCAGCACTACCACAAAGACGTTCCTGGCCACAGTCCCTGCACCACCTGCCGCCTGCCAGTTGTGCAAAGGATCCTGCTCTGGGGAACAGGGCTGTGCTACATTTTACATTCACACTCAGCAGAGCCTCTGGCCAAGTTTCAGCCCACAATTACTTTTGTCACCAAGGCCCAGTGTCATGTGGTGGAGGTAGAAAAAAGGTTCCAAGTCACCACTGCGCCTCTGTGGCTAGGGTACTCCTGCCGGGGAGTTTCAGGCCACCTCTCAAAGGACCAAGGTCAAAAGGTATCAGGTGCCTGTTTCAACAGAGCTTGAGGACATCTTTGAGATCTTTGACTTCTGGGAAAATGAGTCATGGAGGTAGGGGAAGAAGGGCTGCTGTGCCACAGGACAGCTAGAAAAGGCAGAAAAGAACCTGCTGGACTATGTGCAAGGTGGGGACCAGGGTCAGGGTAACTTAATGCCCATGACATTACTGGCTCAGCACAAGTCAGGTACCTACCCACAGTCCTGGCTTCACGGTGTGGTGAGCCCCACCATCGCAGACACTGATGAGAAGTGTGGCTCACACAGCTAGTAAGCAACCAGGGCAAGACTCACAATCAAATCTGGCTGCCACCTGCTGTGTCCTGGGCCACAGTGGCCCCAGGCTCCCTAAGGCTGCCTCCCTGGACCACTCCCTAGTCTGGGCAGACTGGTTTGACAGAGATGCGTCATCAAAAAGCACAGAGGGTTACAGGCAAACATTTCTTCAACTTTGAAGATTTCCATCTAAAGAATTCTTGGGCCCATTCTGCATGCAGGGTTTGGGGGACTACACACGTTGGGACATTTGTTCACAGCCCAGCAGAAAGAATGAGTCCCTAATAGGAAAACCCATGCCTGGGTGGCAGCAAGATGCTCGCCTGTCATCCTAGCACTCAGGAAGCTGAGGCAGGAGGATCACTATGAGTTCCAGGCCAGCCGAGGCTACAGTGTGAGACCCTGACAACTCCTCCCATCAGAAGAAAGACACAAAACATTCATGTGCATACCTGTCACCCCAGAACTTGGGCTGAGGCAGGAGAATTTTGAGTTTGAGGTCAGCCTGGGCTACATGAGACCCTACGTTAAAAAAAAAAAAAAAGTAGGGGCTAGAGAGATGGCTCGGTGGTTAAGAACACTGGCTGCTCTTGCAGAGGACCCAGGTTCGATTCCCAGCACCCACAAGGCAGCTAACTCCAGTTCTAGGGGAATCCAATGCCCTCTTCTGACCTCTGTGGGCACTGCATGACACAGGTATACTTACATGCAGGCAATACACTCAGACATAATTTTTTAAAAAAGTAAACACAAAAAACCTGAGCCAGGTGTGGCCAGCACTTGGAGGCAGAGGCAGAGGCAGGCAGATCTCTGTGAGTTCAAGGCCAGCCTGGTCTACGTAGTGAGTTCCAGGACAGCTGGAGCTACAGGGAGACCCTGTCTCAAAAAAAAAAAAAGTAAATAAAAGAAGGGTCCTGGACCAGATCTGTACCCGTCTTCTGGAAGCTCTTTCCATGAACAACCATTGTCTTTGGCTGTTTTGTGTTGTTATAACAAAATACCCAAGGCTGGGAACTTTACAAAAAGGGTTATTCATCTAACAGTGTTAGTGGTTTGAAAGTACAAGATCAGGCTGCTCCATCTACCCAGCCTGTGGGGAGGGCTCCTCAGGCTGTGCCACATGCAGCAGTTGGCATGGCTGTGAGTCAGTGTGACAGGAAGAGATCACATGGCAAGGAAAGAAGCCTGGAAGACGGAAGGGTCAGGCTCACTCTTCAGAGACCAAGCCACTCTCGTGAGCTAACTGGATTCCTATGAGAGCGACGCAACTCCCTTTCCAGTGATCTGATTACCTGGCACCAGGCTCCATCTCTTCAAGATCCCACCACCTTGTAACCAGTATCAACACATGGAACCTTTGAAGGAAACATGTAAGAAATACCCAAACCATAGCAAACATTTAATAGTTGTTGGTTCTGTTTTATAAACACACTAGGGAGCTGAAGAGAGACTGCTCAGGAGTTAAGAGCACTTATTGCTCCTACAGAGGACTGGAGCTAATTTTCTAGCACCCACATCAGGCAGCTCACAACTGCCCGTAACTCCAGCTCCAGGTGTCCTCTTCTGGCCCCTGTGGGCACCTGCACATATAACACGTGCATATAGACATGAACACACACACACACACACACACACACACACACACACACACACATTTTAAAAAGAAGAAAAAGATGCCAGGCATGGTGGCGCACACCTTTAATCCCAGCACTTGGGAGGCAGAGGCAGGCAGATCTCTGTGAGTTTGAAGCCAGTTTGGTCTACATAGTGAGTTCCAGGCCAGTTGGGGCTACAGGGAGACCCTAACTCAAAA